AAATTAGGATATTGCAATTTTTTCCGTTTTTCAGGTGATTCCAGCTATTTATCAGACAAAAATAACAGTATTTTGCGTGATCCGTTGATTCCCTCCAAATCATAGGCACTACAAAGGGCGTGTGTCGTGAATATTTAACGATCCTGCCGGGAGTGTAACACACGACACAACATATATGGAAAGCCAATTTCTTGTCCTGGTCGCGTACCTTACACTCGAAATAAAGTTAATATTTTCTTCTCAGAGGATTAAGGTTCGTGTTTTGCGATTTCATAGATAATTCCCCGCAGACATAACATAACGTATTTGGGATATTTACACAGTTACGAGAAAATTCTTCAGGTCGTGGCATCTGCCACAAAACACAAGGCGATTCTCACTGCTCAAGCATGACCTATCAGCAAATTTGCCAACTCTTTTTCATTTCCTAAAGGTGAACTTTTTGAATATAGTGTCATGCTTAAGAATTCCTTGTAGGCATTTATGTTGTTCCTGAACAATTACATCAGAAGAATTATTAAATAAATGTGCAGCAAAATAATCAATGTGTAGCGTTTACAAGCATTTTCGTAAATAGTGGCGTGTAACAAGAAAGCTGAGCCCGATAGGAAAAAAACTGATTTCATATTCGAATTCAGTGTCGAAGTCTTAGCTGATGCCACCATTCACATTCTTTGTTACGAAAATGCTCTTGACCAGTATAATTAGTGGAGGTGATGACGTCGAACAAAATGAGGTAATAGAAGAAAGTGGATTGAAATAAATAAATAATGAAAAAATGTCTCGACAAATATACTAAATGGAGCTAATATTGAAAATGGAACAGTGAGAAGCAGTAGAATGGGATCTAGCAAAGGGGTAAAAGTTTAGGAATGAGAAAGAGATGTAGAGAGGTGCTTTGCTTGGAAGTGAACAATGAGAAATTGACATTTGGAAAAGACGAGGAACGTTTGATATAAAGCATATGTGGTGGCGAGACAGGTTTTAACTACTCTTCGCCGAGAGGTATACATCACCGACTGACCGCAAGAAGGAGAATTGTCGTGCGTTAAAAAATAAAATCGTTCTGGATATCGCAAGTGAAGCTAATAGGTAATAGCAAAAACTGAAATAATAGAAGCGGAATTGAGTACGGAATGTTTAGACGAGTAATACAATTATTTGTGGGTTGTTGGAATACTATTACAAAAAACTACAAAACTTGAAATATAATGAGAGTGAATCAATGAAACGGGTAAATGTGAAAGGGAGCGTAGAAGATACAGAATTTTTCAACAAAATTCCATTGGTATTGAGAAAGAGCTTCAAAACTAAGAATTTTTAGGAATTAAGAATTAATTACATTTTGGATACTTTGGATACATTTTTGGCACTTTTTCCCGTGGTTTTATTTGCGTTATTAGTCTAGTTATTGCCTGGCAGCTTCCCCAATATGAAATTAAATGCATTCTCGTCGATTAACGAGAAAATAACCCGGCAGCGGGTAGCTCAGTAGGTCAACTAAAATTCAGTTATTTTCTTTATCAACATACACAATCATTTGCCTAACGAATTTATTTTAAGCACGGCAAAAACTATCCCTTTTTCGTTTGAGAAGAAGTTGCTTGATGACTCTTTTACTCATGATTTCCGATTCTCTTACTTCGATTTTCAAGATCTTTTTTTCTCCATCATCCTTTCCTCCCTCTATCCCGCACCACTGGGGTTGCTGCAAGCAGCAAGGGACAAGCGATAAAGTTTGTCTTATGGCGGGGGAAAGCAACGCGCCGCCGCAACGGAAGACGCCCCGCAGCAGGCTAACGCTGAGTGATGGCGGGACGCATCCCGGGGAACCCCCGACAGTCGCAAACGAGCGTGAGGAACGAGATAAAACGAAGGGGCGCTGTGAGGGTGGGGGACGGTCGTATAACCCGACGGGGGGTGACGGCGTGGTGGGTGGGGATATGGGATGGACGAGGGAGGAATGACGGCCGTAAAGGCGCCGTCAGGAGCCGGGCCAAGTGCTCGGCGCCTGCGATGCTCCTGCGACGCAGTTCGCGCCGCGGCTTGGGAGAACATGGAGAACACGTTGCCGCGACAATTCTCCATCTGGGTTGGATGCTGTCACTCTCACTTTTTATTCTTTTGCTTTTTAAATGTCTGAATCTTGAGGTTTAATTAAAAAGAATAAATCATACAATAATTAATATTGTTGACGTTATTCATTATTGTAATTAATTTACGTTATTCTTTGTTATAATGTGCATTCAAAAAACAATAACTGCTTATAGAAGTGAGATTTTGATGTGTTTTGTTTAGTTTGTCAGCTTTTCTGAGAGGAAGGTTTCAGATCATTTTTTCCGAAAAGACTATAACTTAGTGTAACTTAATACTAATAATAGTGTAACGGGTAATAATACTGCTCCCCAGTATTATTACCCGTTTACACCTGGACCATGCACGGAAATAGTAATTACAACACTTAGATTGCAATCTGTGAGTATTACAGTATTCATCTCTTCGTAGACATCAGTGGAATATAACATATAGGTGATATTTTGAAGTATCGGTTAATGATGCACTTGTAGCAATGCTTAAACTTCTAAATTTTCATGCTGAGAACCAAATAAAGATTGTTATTGCTCTTGTCGGAAAATCGATAGCTTGTTTAAATGTTGCTATCCACGCTTGTTCGTGTTGTTACTCACAATTCAACTATGTAATATAATAGGGATGGGATTGTGGAGCTCACGAAAACGTGCGCAACATATACTTCTTCCACACACGTCATATATATCCCCTAAGCACATTTTGTACATAAATAAATTAAAAAAACTGTTAAGCGGGCCTCTTGGGACAGATGCATCATTACCTCTTGTTTGACATTGGGAAGCATCTGGGGTGCATCATCTGCACTGATGCATCTGTCCCACCCTACATTTTCCAAACAGTAGCAGTAGTGTGGTGTTAGATATCGCCGCTTGAATTTGAAACCGATAATTTATTTATTTTCATGAAGACACGTTTACATTTTCGATTTTTTTCTCAAGAGGTACCAAATATTTTTCTTCAATATTATTCTCCTATACAGAGCAAAGTTCAATAGAAAAGGTTTGCAACAAGACGTAATAATGAGTTCCAAGAGACCAATTGTTGCTGAGGTATGAGATATATTCATACTTGCAATGTAGTGGCTGTGATAAGTCTGTGGGTCAGTTGTTCGTTAATTAATAGGGGTAATATGACATTCTTGCTAGGGAATCATTGTCACCAAGTTAGATTCGGGCAGTTTTGCGGTTCAACTTCGCGCGCGTTATAAACGTAGACCAGTGCTTCAAATAAATGACTCTCGCACGTGGTGATGCTTGTCCACATCGTACGGCTATATTCAGGTGATGCTGATAATTTTAAAGCCGATTTTTTTTCTTTGCAGGACGCAGAGACAACGAGAAGGCCCCGAGGATCAGTCACGACAGAAAACATAGCTGCTGTGAGAAAAATACTTGATGAAATGACCTACAAGAAGATAAAGATGACCTTAGGCCTATATTCGCCAGCTATTCGTTCGATTCTACATTATCATTGCATGTAAAGGAACTTTGGTGTCTCTGGGTGCCGCGTAGAATGACGGAAGAGCAGATGACACGGCACGTGACTTGGTTCGGCGAGATGCTACAAAAAATTCAGGACAATCTTCGTATGTCAATAAACGTACAGGTAGCGAGACTTGGCTGTGATATTATGAGTTGCCGATTAAGACAAAAAAATGGTCTTTGAAGATCTCGATTAGTAAAAAAGAAAATGAAAGCTGTACTTTTTAAATCTAGCGGAATTCTGAAGCTTGTAGTTTTGGACACACAGAAGTCACAGTTACAGGACTCACAGCCAAGTGGTACACTACCTAAAGTCATTCGATCTTTGAAGAACATGTGTCTAATATCAAGAATGGGGCACTTGGTTCCTGCATCATGACAACACTGCAGTTTCCACGTCAAAGTATGTACCGAATATTTGACGACTACAGAACTGAAACTTCTAATGAATCCTCCTTACAGTTCCGACCTTGCTCACAGTGAATTTGCAATGTTGTGGCATTTAAATATGAAGCTGAAACAAATGCGGTTTCCAGTGATGAGGATCTTCAGAGGATTTGGGACAAGGAGGTCCCTTACTCCCTGGTGGAACTTGGAAGAACAGGTTTAGGGATTGGTTTCAGAGGACGAAGAAGTATATTATGCAACCTACCGGTTATTCAAACCGACCGTAGTGCTGCCAGATGCAATCACCACCCTCTTTTCGGTTTTTAAAACCAAATGCCCCCACTGGCACATAGGGTGGTGTATCAATCACCAACACTCCCCTGACCTGAGTGACGGTGATTACAAAAAGAAATCTATTAAGGTGGACAGACCGCAATCTGTCTCCCCAATTAATTACTTTGTAACCTTCACATATAAGTTTTTTCTTAATTTGAATCTTAGAGTTAGGTGAATCGTACTCGAGATTTTTGAAATTGAATAGGGTCACGATATTCATAAATATATAACACATATATTCAAAAAGACAAAAAAACAACAACATACAGCTACTACAAAACAAACAAAAAACACAAAAATCCTTCAAATCCTTTCCACGAAACAACACGGAAACTATATGCACAATATGCAATCACTTTCAATTACAACATTCGGGCTGAACTTACTAGCCAATTCAATAGAATTATTAATGTTTTTAAAGGTATTCATACACTGAACGCAGTTTATTCCCTCTTTTACTTGTATCAACAAAATCTATACCCTTACTTCATTCAAATTATTTCTTCTTGGTTCAAGGTTTCACGCTGTCGCAATGGAAACCAGAGAGATTACTCACGCAATGAATGACCGCGTTTTTGTAACGGCTTTTCCCGTCACTTAGAATTGCTAAATATCTTACACAAATGCATGAAATTTTTATGGCTTTCACAAAAACAATCATGTTTGAATTCCTCCACTGAATAAAATAATACTGAAAATAATAACCTTATTTTTGGGAATCGACGTCTGTTTTCCTCGCGTCGCTTTCGAAGAACGTGGAGTAACGGGATCTCTCGGTGTAGATTCTCCGTACTGCAACGCCGCCTCCGAATCGCCGCTGAAGTTCTCCGACCGTGCGACGAGATAAACGGTAATCGCACCAAAAACTTATTCGGCTTTTTCGCACTCTCATATACTAAAAAAGGCTCTGTAAGTCGAATTACGCTCATTAGCATCATAAACGTTACAAGAGTAAGTATTTCTTCTTCCTTTGTTCTCTGAATAATTTTTTATTTACCTTTATGAGCTTTTCAAAATCTTTTTCTAGTGGGTCTTGCTCCGAATTCCAAGTCAGCCAGCTTGTCACGCGTACAAGAACACTTTTCTTGCGAAGAGTACTACTCAGCGGTGCGAAAGGAAATGATAACGGGGAAGGCGTGCGAGGTCCGAGCTCCGTACAACCCCTCCCGTTCCCCTGTTCCACCCCTCCGACGCTCCACAGCGCGTCAACGATGCGGTCTCCTCCTTGACGGCGCCACGAGCCGTCATTCCGTTGCGGTGCGAAATCTGGTTGTTACCGCGCGAACGAGATTGAATTGAATTAATGCCTTATTTTACGCGGCGAGACTCGGGCCATCAGCCCCGCTCTTCCGTCAGACCACGAAAATTTCGCTACGCTCCTTTCACCAACTAGCGGAGAAGGGAGGTAATTTTTGGGCGAAACAGGCGATTTGCATTTAGCTTGGAGGCGTCATTTAGGCTTGAGGATCTTTTGCATGCAAGTAAATCTACTAACATGGGACAGACGGCTTTATTTCCCATCCGAAGGAAGGCGTACGAAGGATTTTTTCGCCCTTAAAAATCCACAGGTTTGAACTCGCCAACTTGGGTATAACAGTCCGATACGCTCCGGTGCATTACACCATCGCGCCGAGATGTCTTTCGTTCTCTTGACTGTGTCGCTTAAGCCGGCCCTGGCTGAGCGGTCACAATTGATCGTGGCGGAAATTACTTGAAAAAATTAAATGAATAAAGCTCTATTGCAAAACACTCCTAGTACTCTGATACGCTGATAAATCGGCCGAAATAGGTCCACGTTTCATTGAAACCTGTATTTCAGCACAAGTAAGTTTTTCGGACCCCTCCACCAAACTATATTATTTAATAAAGAATATTTTCATAATGAAATACATTTTTCAAAGTATGATATGTTAATAATGTCATGTTAACTTTTGAAATATGAGTCGAGTTGATATACTTTCGAATGATCAAATAAGGCGCAAATGTTTTTGTCCTTGGAATAAAGGTTGCTTAATAATTTGGCATTGGTTCGATTTCAATTAAAATCTCAGGCATTTCGAAAATGGTGAACATTTATTTTCGAACCACCTATTGAATCTTCAGATTTTTTGAATGCAAAACATTCCGCAATATTATATCGAATAATTATTTGCACGAATTTGGAAATGTTAGTAATTTTCGCCTAATTCTGACTTCGTGTTCATCTCTTCGGCAACTAATGATTATTTGTCATACTGTAGAAATGAATACTGGCTGTTTGCCTTTGTGCAAAATGCAAGTATTAAATGTTCAATAAGTTTTTGCGTATTTTATTTCCTAGTATTAGTTTAGAACAAACATTTCCTTTGCGTTTCAGATTTTTAAAAGATTATAGATAACTCGGTGAACATGTTGGCGTTTTAGCTGTGTTTAATATGTTGATAATATATCAGACGCTGATTATTGAATTTATGATATGATATAACTTTCAAAGTTGTTGGCAACTGTCGAAGCAATCAAGGCAATATTGTGTGAAATCGTCCCCATTTTCCTGTATAATGCGCTGCGAATACTGTTTCAGTTTATTTTTGTTTGTTTTGTAGATATGTAAAAAGTAGCAACTGTTTCTGGGTGAAAAAGTAATCACAGTTTGGAACTACTCGTGGCTCGTTCGATCAGAAGTTCAAGTGATGTGTGAAGTGTTAGTAGGACAGACAATGCAATATTGCAAACCCGTAGCGTAACCGTTGCTAATAATAAAAGAAAGTATGTGCTGTTGTAACACCACTAGCTTTAAGTTCGGGATCCAGTGTGGTCATGGCCGGATTGAAGGCTTTGCGGGAGCCCCGGCACGGTCTTTGTGTGGAGACGCCACAATATAACCACACGATTCTATTGCTTATATATCTGAGACGACAGACCCCGAACTGCAGTGCACATAATAATAATGTTACTAACCATAAAACTGTTTGCAGCATGGATTGCTGGGGACAAGAATATCGAGTCACCTTTCTCAAGCGCGTTTTCAATGCAAGGTTTTTTACGGCTGTAGCGTTTCTCACTTACCAGAACGAGAGAGAATATCCAGCATTTAATACTTTTTTTCACTACTTTTTCCTTTCCTTTTTTCTTTTTCTGACTTACTTTTCCTATTTTGGGAGAACGTCCTTTGTCTCAAAATGTTCGGGGATTCCGGTATGAACGCGTTTGTAATTCGCGCCTGCGTGTGGTACAGAAAAGAAGCAATCGCACGCTTCGATGAGCTCACGTGCATGCGCACTGTGCAACCTTGGATGGCCTGTTCGTGTAAGATTCGCGTGCAGCCTTTGGCAAATCGAATCTGGAAGAACACGGACGAGGATGGAAGTGCGTGTGACCTTTCGCTTCATCTGTGAAACAGTCGTTTGTCAGCTCGACATTGTATCAAAAATTGAGGGAAAATAATTTTGAAATCTAAAACAGGTTATAATGTTTTTTATCTATAGCATACAGAAATACTTAGCTTTTTATATTGTTTTATTCATATTTACATAAGGTGTCAGAAAGATAAGATAAACCCGAATGAGCAAATGCTTATGCTCTTGGGCAGTTTAAATTCGCTTATAACGGAAACAAAAAATTAGATGTGGTACAAAGACAACACACCTAATTCACACATACAGAAAAGAAAACTTGCGCGAACTATGTTATAATAATACAAAGTTGTTAGTAATGGATGAAACTATTTATTTGAATTAAATGAAGTAAATTACTTAATGACAGACAATTTATCTCTTAATATACTTCATCAATTCCTTGTAGTTTAGTTTACTAACTTCAGGTCAGTGTGAAATTACGGACTTCTGAAGTCTAGGGAAACAACCCATGAAATGTTTATAGTGTGAAGTGGTATTTGTAACACGTAAAAATAGCATATTGTGATCAAAAATCACACTATTAACAATAAAAATGATTTTGAACTCCCTAAAAAGTCGAAACTTTTATAAAACAATATCGGTTGGCCTCTGAACTCTCATCCCGGTCATGTTAGGATTAAACTGGAATACGTTTAATTTGAGTGAATACTTTTCCCCACAGAAGAGACATCCTGTTGGGAAACCCCAGGTTTTACGATACGGGTCCATCAAATCACATCGATCCTCCACGTTTGATGGACTGTACTAGAAAATGAATAGTGAAAATTCCAACTAACAAAGACGATGTTTATTGGAAACATTTTACGAACGATAACTGCAAATCTACTTAATTATAAATCGTAGGTGTAAGAGAAATTTATATGAATGTTAGGTTGGTTTTCATAGTTTCCAAACGAGTAGTACAATGTATTACTTGAGAGTCCGATTTCAAATCGATAACCCACGAGACTTACATTCTCTTGAACATATTTTATCCTGACACCGATCGAAGATGTAAGGAAAATTCTAGAATACGCCTCTGCCGAATGACAGCAGAGCAACTCCTTTTCCCTCAAAGAGACCGCGAAGCGCTCCGGGGAAGCTTGGGCAACACACGCGGACGGTGGCGGCGCTGGAGACGGTGGTGGAGACGGCTGAGGTCGCAACTAACAAAACATCGTCTTTGTTAGTTGGAATTTTCACTATTCATTTTCTAGTACAGGATGGTGGTTTCGGTTGAGGTGGGGGTAGTGGCGACGGCCGTGACGGTAACGAAGGGACTGTGACTGAGGCGGTGTAGCAGGGGGGGGGGAGCAACAGGGGAAAGAGCGTCGGGATGGTGGGAGAGACTGTGGCGGCGATGGTGAAGACGGAAGGAGAAGGACGGGACTGGGACAGTGGCGAAGGAGGCGGCAGTGGAGGTAGAAACAGCGAGGGAGATGGCCCGTCGGGACAGGGAGTGGGCGAAGGGGCGGTGACGATGGCATTGGCTGTGACAGGGGCGGCGGCGGCGGCTAAGGTGGTGGTGAGGGTGGAAGGGCGGAGGTGGCGGAAGCAGGAACGCTGAGGGCGGGGACTATGGTGAGGGCGGCGGCAGTGGGTTTAGACGCACCGACGGCGTTAGTTGGGGCGAGACGTGGGGGAGAGGGGGCATGTGAGAAGTGGCGGTGGCGATGGCATTGGCCGCGGCGGGCCGG